GATTCACTAGCAGGAAGGGATTATTGACAAGTACAGCCGTAGTAATATTGTAAACGAACATTATTAAATTTTTATTACATCGAAGTTAGGGAAAGAGAAAGAAAGCTGGCAAAGAATTGGGCCATGACCGGGGACCGGGGATACCGGATAGGCGAAGGTCGCCCCGCAACCTTCGCCTCTCTGGGGCGACGCTTTGACCGATTAAACCATCCCGGCCGCTGGTTTCGGCGGACTGAATCTTTGAACAGCTCTCTGTTTTACTGTTTACTGTCAATTTTCCCGCTAAATTTAGTGGGGAATGGAATCGCTGCTGAGGTCACGTAAGGTCAATTTTCCCGCTAAATCTAGCGGAGAAACTGAATTTGTTCATAGGTGACGTGACACCAAGTCATATGACGTCATTACTGAGTTGATGTTGAGGTCACGTGACGTCAATTTTGCCGCTAAACCCAATGGAATTGCTGCTGAGGTCATGTGACGTCAATTTTCCCGCTAAGGCGGAGAAACTGAACTTGTTCGTAGGTGACGTGACACCAAGCCCTGTGACGTCACTGAGTTGATGTTGAGGACATGACGTAAATTTTCCCGCTAAATTTAGCGGGGATTGAATTCCTGCTGAGGTCACGTGACGTAAATTGTTCCGCTAAATCTAGCGGAAAAACTGAACTTGTTCATAGGTGACGTGACATTAAGTAATATGGCGTTATTTTCCCCGCTAAATTTAGCGGCAAATTGAATTGGCATTGAGGTCACGTGACGTCAATTTTCACTCCGCGGAACCAGGAAAACGGGCGCAGGCGCTCTAAAAGTTGTGCAATGCTGCTCAAGAACTGTAAGGGGGTAGAAACCTCGTCAGGTATCACGCCCTTTAGTCTCTGCCCCCTTGAAAATGAATAAATAAAAGAAAGAAAGAAAGAACGAGCGAACGAAAGAAAGAAAGAAGGAAAAGAGAAAGGAAAGAAGGAGGAGAAGAAGATGATGATGATGACCTTGAGATTGAGACTGTGGAATCTCGTTGATACGATTCGGCATAGTACGTTTTTCGGTATAATACGTTTTCAATATATTTTGATACGGACAATACTATCATATTTTTGCTTGAAATCGAATAATACGAATCCGAAAGCGGGTACTCACGGGCATATAAAAAAAACAATTATGCAAGCTCGAATCCCATTCGAGCCACGAACGGCCGGTTGCGTGGCCACAGCAGGACAGCCCAGAGCCGTATATGTAGAGAGTTTGGCCATTCGTTGGGAAGTATAGGAGACAAATGAAGCGCCGCCATTGGCCGAAAGCGGGCTGGGCGTGTTCCAGGGCGTCTTCAGAAATTCGAATGTGACCAACCAGAAGCCGGAAATAATACCCTGGCGGTGGTCGCGAGAAACAAACCTGATAACTGCATTTGAGTTACTCTCGATGGCTGAAAATATGGTAGACGTGATGTTTCAATCACACTCATCTAAAATGATGGTGGAAGAGTGCGACTAGCGGAAAGATCGACATAATCCTTACGCCAAACGCCGAGCGCCGGGAATCTGCCGTCAGAGCGGTCACACTCTGTCCGCGCAAAACAGAGTTGAGCGGCGCATTCGTTTCTTACATCTTTCTGCATGATCATAATGAAACAACACGTGCACCCTATTTTCAACCACAAAGAGTTACTACACTTCACTCTTACGCACTTATTAAAACCATATACGAACAGAGACCTTCGATGATCGATCGGCTCAGAACTGTTTCTCGCTACCACCGCTAGGGGATTCTTTTCGGCTTCTGGTTGGTCAAGAGAGCATGCCAAGCCCTCCTTCCGAGTCTGCCGCACGCCCTGGCTCTGCCCGCGCCTCCCATTGACCAAACTCTCTACATATACGGCTCTGGGACAGCCACAGTTAATTAACGCTGGGTGTTCCAACATGGCCGCCCAGTCGGGCGTCCTCGTTCGCCATCCATGAAGCGAAAAGTAGCGCACCTTGTGTTGTGTTCCAAATACTACCCAAATGGATCTGAGTTTCTCCGGCGGGTCGTGTCACGCGACAATACAGATTTGAAAAGCGCTGAACGCAAGTAACATTTGGAACGGCCAACACGGCCCGCGTTAAAATTCACTTTACCCCGGTTTCACCGTGCGTTGCGCCCGGTAGGAAGCGTTGGCGGTAATGGCCGCCAGGGCCGCCATTAGCCGCCATGGCCGCCTCTTGCGCAATTTTTGTACCTCCTTGATCTGTGCATTATCTTTCGATTCCGAGTGCGCTGTCTCGCTTTGTCTGTCTGTTCTCCGGTGCTCCCTATTCACAGCTCTCGTGGTATCGTTAACCATCGTGAACGCAAGCCGCTGTCCCTGCGCGTAGACCTGGCACGCGAACTAGGCTAACCCCCTTTCTATCCAATCTCAATCTGCACAATGCGCAAAACTTTTTTTTTTTTTTAGGTGAAAATGATTATTACGGTATCAACTCGTGGTTTTCCCCGTAAGTCCTTCTTTGCAGAAAAAAAAAAAAAAAAAGTAAGTCATAAACAGTGAAATGTGGTACGGTTAATCTACACTGCGATATTCTCTATGATTGATATCGAGCGGAAAAATAAAAGGGAAATAGAAAAAAGAGCCCAAATAAAACAGGAAAAAGTGAGAAAACTAGCGTTTTTGTTTCTTGTGTTTGGTTGTGAGTGATGTCATGATGTCTGCAGTCGTGGCCGAGTGGTTAAGGCGATGGACTCGAAATCCATTGGGGTCTCCCCGCACAGGTTCGAATCCTGTCGGCTGCGTTACTTTTGTTAAGATTCTTTTTGTTTTTTTCCTCTTCTTTTTTTTTTTTTTTTCTCTTACTTTAGCTTTGAAAACAGGGCAAGCTTTCATTCATTCCTTCCTTGTTCTTCGAAAATATCATAAGGGTGCAGGCAAGCTGGTGAATATTAACCACGTTGAGTTAAGCTGAGGCCGGGGTAGAGAAGAAACATCAAAACCTAGAAAGGGCAGAAAATAGACAGGACGACATTTCAAACTTAGCTAACTCGTTTATTTAGTCCACCTCCTTATATACGCGTGGAATTCCGTTGATACGCTTCTCACGGGAACCGAAAAATAAAACGTATTATCCGAATATCGTATTATCCAAAATGAGCTAAAAAATTTAAAATATGCATACCCGGTGAGGAACTCCGCAGCCTTGAAATAGTCGGCCACTTTCATTTGGGTTTTCTTCTTTTCAATATCGGTTGGTTTGCTGGCTCGGCCAGCTCGCGCTCTCATCGGCCTTCTCGCGAACTTTACCGTCGACGTTCACACCTGCCCTGCTGCTGCTAGTTCTTCTTTAAACCATGCCAGGAGGATCTCTTCCATCTGTGCATGCTGCGCACCTCTCGTTTGCTTGACTTGCGCGCCGAAAACTTGCACCTTGCTGCGGATTTTAGGAGTAGAAACCGGCGAGTTTACTACGGTTGATCGAATGCCATTTCATCGAAGCACATTTTAGAGAATGGGCACGTTTTATCGAAGCACGGTTTAGAGAAAGCAGAGCCTCAGGTTAGAGAAACGCCGTTTATTGAAAAGGGGACGCTTTTTTTTAAATGTGAACTCACCTGATCTACTCGCAACGCCGCTTCGCGGCGGCCGAATTCGCTAAAAGTAGGCTCATCGCCATTTTCTTTAAACTGGGTTACTCTATGAAGGCATTCGATAAACCGGGGTCGGTAAAACGGTGTTCGCTAAAACGAGCTTCTCTAAACTGCATGCCTCCGGGATTTTCAAACCAGATTGAAAGTGGATCAAAAATAGGGCTCGAAGAAATTTCCTAAGTTCCAGTCAGCAAATAGGGATTATTATTGTCATTCTTATCCAGCTCGCTTGCACCTAAAAGTTCCATCTGGTTTAAAACCTGACATTTGTTTGAGTTAACTACGGTAGATCGAACGCCATTTCATGATAGCACAATTTAGAGAATTAGTTCCTTTTATCGTAGCTCGGTTTAGAGAAAGTGGTGGCTATCAGTTTAGAGAAATGCCGTTTATGAAAAAGGAATGCGGTTTAAAAAAAGGCTCCCCTACTTCGCTCGTGTAACGTGTTAACCCCCCCGGGGCCCCGCGTTTATGCTGCTTTCCAGCAATAGTCTGCGGCGGCTCATTACAAAAATGTTAACAGACCATACCTAAAGCCCCTCTATCCTGGGAAAAGTGGCGCCATTCATTATTGTGGAAATGCTCGAGACATGTGCCACGCGCCACGTCTGAGAACAACATGGCTTCTAAAATCTAGCTCAGTGCTGCGCTGTGCCGTCATGATCTTCCCAAGGGCTTCACCTTGCACGTGCCCCCCGCATCGACGCACATTGCGCTACTTTTAAAACATGAAGGGGCTTTAATCCGACCCAGATTTTGGCCTTGACAGCCTGGCAACCACAGCAGCATAGTTTGACAACCGGAGGATGACTACTCCCGTCTGCCTTTTTGTGGCTCCGACTCGTAGGAACTTTCTGCAATTTCTCAGGAATAAAGACAAAGAAATAACGCCATTTTGTGTTATCACGAAATCCGCTGGTTCTTGCGGGCAACAAGCTCTGCCCATTGGCCAAACTCTCTCAGTACAAACAGCTCTGATCCGACCCATCCACACATGCCGCTTCGCGGTGGCCAAATTCACTAATAGGAAGCTCATCGCCATTTTCTTTAGACTGAGTATCTCTATAAAGGAATTCAATAAACTGAGGTCAGTAAAATGGCATTCGCTAAAACGAGCTTCTCTAAATGGCATGCCTCTGCATTTGTTCACTCCCATTTTCAGATCCAGACCGGATCTGAAAACTTTCATTCTGATTTTGATCCGACATCTTCGTACGGGGAGGTAGGGACAAAAGACATTTCTGCCCGACAGTTAGAAGTAGTCGCCGCAAAGTCGCAGACGCCTCCTTCTTGGCATAGCCGCGTGCTAGTGTCGCACTCGTTACGAGACACTGTGGAGGCGATGAGGGGTATTGGGTATTGAGTCTGCTCCACGCCTGATGCAGGTGGTGAGCCTGTTCTGTGGCCGGGGCGTGCTGAACCAGACTGACTATGACGCGTGGGAGTCGGTGTACATGGGTAACTGCATCGACGCCACACATCGGTACCTGCGCGAGAACGTGACCCTCATCACGGGCATGTGCCTCGTATTTGTCATCCTGCTCGCCTTCGTGCAGATGGTCACGCAAGCCCTGGTGGACGAAATCAATGTCATACGTAACATCTACAATAGGTTCTACGAACGAGTCTACGACATGCGGGAGGCAGAGCGAATCACCGAGTAGTGACGGCCACTCAAGGGCAGATGCAGGTGCTTCCAGATTCTACCCCTCTTTTCCCAGAACATGTCCCTCTGAATCCGCCACTGCAGCCGCTCGGGACAAAGCGTGTGTATCAGTACTGTCGGGTTCGACTCGAGTTAAGGCACGTAACACTGTTTATTTAGGGTCTTTACGTGGTTACATAATATGCACATCTTGCTCACTCGAGCAATGACCCAAAAGGTCGGCCGCTCTCGCTAGAGTTCACCTGGTGGCGCCCTCCCGTTGCAATGGTGCACACAACAAATGCCATATAGAAGGCAAGGTCTTTTCTCTCTCCCCCATACGTCATCGCTAGTAAATCTACACAGTGCCGCCCATACTCCGTGTCACCACTTGCATGCAGTACAGGTGAAGGCAACGCCGGGCAAGGGGAGAAAGGGCAAGCACTAGGAAGGCTGGGGAGGAGGAGAGGAACAGCTAACATTCCTGCGCAAGCCTCGTCTTTTAGGGGGTATTGCTTGCGTTCAGCGGTTGTGCTTTTGCTTTGAAGTTCTAAGCCCATACCGTAGCACCAGTATCAGGTGGACAGCGTTCTCAGAGGCAGCAACCAATTTCTGAACAATTCTATTTTTTTGTTCTTCATTTTCCTCTTCAATGACGTCTCGTTTCATATGAAAAGCAATAAAGAATGTACAAATATGACCAAGATATACTACCCTCTCAAAACCTTGCATCGACAATGTGCTCAGGAAGCTCACAGAGCACTCTGCTCGCCACAATTGGTGATGTCGTCCTCTCTAGCATTTGCTCTGCTAAAATGGAGAGAACTCTGCTTTGTGGGAGGAGCTTCACCCGAGTTCCCTAAAGAAACTCGGTGTGGTGCTGTTAAAAAAAAATGGGGCGACCTCTCACAGGAACAAGTATCAGTTTTGGTATGTTCCATACTCCAGTGGGGGGACAACCACCTTTCCAGTCTTTGGGTAAGGTGTTTACGAAATCGGGCTTACGAATACCTCAGAAACTGACATTACTGCAAGCCTGCATGCATGACTGCTGCTAAAGTGTAGAAAAGCTTGAGTCTGACTTCTTCGGAAGCTCTCCCGCCAGGTTCTAGTTAAGGATTATGATGTTCACATAAAATGAATTGCTGAGAAATGCACCTTTTTTAAGCATACCACATTGTGGTTGCAAGTGGATTCAGCCAAGTGAGCTTTCTGGTTAGACAAAGTTGGTCATCCTGATGTTTATGCATTAGAACTATTTCCCATTAGCAAAAAAAAAGAGAAGGGAAGAGAGGTGGGGAGGAGCAAGTAGATTCCCCTCTACCTAACATTAACATTCACACAGATCCAAGCATGATCTAACTTCCATTTATTAGCTGGAATGGAGGAGACAAGCCCAACGACATCCAAACCGGTCTCAGTTTAGTCTGAGAATGCAAGCCCACCATGGCAGCCAATTCATATACAGTGTTGCCAAAGCAGGACCACACAAAAGTGATGCCAAAAGAAAACGGAATAGCCGACGAGGCCTAACGGAACTGGATGGGGCTGATGCGGAGACCGATGGTGTCCTTCCCGACTTCCGCAATGGAGCAGACGGTGCAGACGGATCCCTTGAACTCCGGCAGGTAGCTGGCCGAACACAGCGGACACTTGACCTCCGGCTTGCCTCTGTAAATCGGAACGTAGCTTTTCGCGCACAGGGCAAACGGATTGTGCTCGTCGTATCTCAGGTCGTGCTGGTCCGTCGGCGTCTTGTCGCACGCCTGCAGGATCTTCCTCGTCTGCGCCGCCACGTCCGGGCGCGGCCCCAGCTCCAGCAGACGGCGGCCCAACGAAGCGGCCGTCTTGTAGTTCTTCAGCTTGAAGAAGAGGTTCAGCGCCGTGCGGAGCGTCAGGATCTGGTGGACCGGCTGCAAGTTGCAGTGGGTGAAGTAGGCCGCCATCTCACAAGCCCGCTTCTGCTCCTCCAGCGTCTCCTTCGGAAGCGCCTTGCGCTCCGTCTCCAGGGAGAGCCCAAGAACGTACTCCCGGCAGACCTCGAGGAGCTGCTGCGCCTCCGCCATCTCCTGTCGCGTGTCCACTGCAAGAAGCAGCACCGACAACAGCAGGGCCCTGAACTTTGTCACCGCCTCGGAAAACTTGCCGGAGGTCGTGAGCTGGTAGCAGACTTGCAGCCGGTCCAGGAGATCCGACAGCTTGCAGCCGACGGCCGGAAGACCTCCCTTTGCCGGAGTGGCGTCCCTCCAGTTCCGAAGGGGGTGTCCGTAGAGGCACGGAAGTTCTGGGAGGCCCTGGAAGGCTGTCCGGGAGCGCGCAAACGTCGACATGAAGAGCGGACGCAACGGCTCAAAGACGACGGCTCCAACTTGGTCGTGCAGGAGTCGGAACGCTGACTCGAACGATCCCGCGAGGACGTGGTCCACTGCGAGCTTGGAGTTGTTGGTCCACTGCTGGCCCGGTGATGTGCCCCTGGTCGGCGCAACGAAGTAGCCTTCGTCTCCTCCGCCCGGAGACGGTCCGACGGCCTCCGCGAGTTCGGGCGGGAGCTCGATGTCTTCGTCGACGTCCCAACCGCCCTCGCCAGCCTCGGCCGCTTCAGGCACCTCTTTCTCAGCGCCGATGCCGTCTTCGTCCAAGGCGAGTTCGGTGTCGTCGCCCCAGCCTTTGAATGCAAAAAGAGTAGAATGGATCTTCAGTTGCTGTTACATGACACAATGCTATCAATAACGCAGAGAGACAATAAATCAAATAGAAAAAGAAAACTTAGTACCTGTATACCTTTCTTTAGCTAAATTTTACTGTAGTCTGCCAAACTGAAGTTGTAATTTGACTTTGTTTTCACAGGAAGTAAAGAGCGTGACACAATTAACACAAAAAGGCAAGAGCTGCCTTTTTCCTCCTGAAATAGAATAGCTTTTATAAAATTTACTAGTTCACCGGCAGGTGCTTATTCAAATCAATGGCCTAAGTGGTCCCACCCAGGTAGCGCATCACTCCAATTGGCTGGTGTGAGTAATAATGTGATCATATCAACAACCAATGGCATTCACGTTGAAAGTCGCAGCACGAGTTTGAGTACATGAACAGCTGCACCAATTATTGCCAACCCAAAAATGCATTTTATGTGTGGCCAGGGGCGGATTCAGGAAGGGAAAAGGGGGGGGGGGGGGGTTGCCCCCCCCCCCAAACAAAGTTGGCCCCCCCCTTCCCCCTTCTTGGAGGGCAATTTGACGTGGGTGGACCCCCCGGTGCACACGGAAGAAAGAGAGAATAGTATCCTTGCAAATTTTCTGCCCCCCCCACCCCCCAAATGGAGTTCTGGATCCGCCCCTGCGAGTGGCAATACTGTCTGGTATGAACAAAGTACTGCCCAGGGTGTAAGATAGACAGGTGGGGAAACGGCCCATAGAAGCCTACCGCAGCGCCGTGACCGGATTGTGTACTTGTCTGCTTGCGGGTACCCCCGATTTGCGACAGATGGCGCTGCGGCGAGAGGAAAAAAATTGGAATCGAATTTGCATGGAACTTTATGGGAAAGTGCGCAAAATAAACCGAGAGCACGACAGTCCTCCATTGTAAATCCATGAGAAATCATCTCCGTCAGTTTAGCCGGTCGCCACCGGTCGCCCACCCAGAGAGAGTTTGCGGTGCTCCACATAGATGGCACCACAGAAAAAGAGAAAACCGAGGGGGACACAATCCGGTCGCTCATTTGGCTCTTGTTTCCCCACCTGTTTATCTTACACCCTGGTACTGCCACTACCTTTTTCTTTTCCTTCCCCAAACGCCACTGCACTCTGCTTCATAGTTAGTGCACAAAACTTTCAAAGTTGCTGGCGCAAGCTTGTGGCTTCATCGAGCAGTTCAATTGCGCATCACTAGGTAAACTGCATGCGTTCGTGCCAGCAACTTTGACAACACTGTACGCAGGGTATCAAATGAGGTATAGGTGGCCCCCTACAAGCGGTTTATTGCCAGAGTGGCATCCCTGGTCCCAATGCCACCCACCTTCGGCGTCCACCTCCGTGACCTCGGCGGCTATGGCGGTCTTCTTGCCCGACGCGGCGGTGTCGAAGAATCCTCGCGTCACGCTGAGCAGGGGCCAGTTCTCGTCGCACGGCATGATGGGTGGCGGCGGCATCAGCAGCGTGGCGTTGGGGTCCGGGGCCCCCAGGGCCTCGGGGTTTGCCACTTGCGACTCCAGGGCCTCGGCCTCCTCCGCCAGGCCGTGGGTCTTGGCGCACAGGTAGGCCAGCGACATCTGGCCACAGTTCTGCGTCGGGCACGGTGGTAAGACAGGCAAGAGTTGGGACTTTGTGGACAGAGTGCGGAGCTCGGCACCGAAACTGCCGCACGAAGCTTTGTCCTCCGTGCTATCTCTTTCACGAAATTTCAAGGTCTTTGATCTTTAACCAACGTCTTAACCAGTTAGTTAAATAATATAAGTTAATTTGAGCAGCTCTAGAAAATACTCCATCTCGCCTTAACCCACGAAACATAAAAGCTGCACCAAATTTAAGTTTTCGATCGAGACTTGAGCTATGTTAAAAACGACTGAAAAATTCCAAGCATGTAAAAAGACTATTTGTTCTTTAAAAAAAAACTTGGTTGTCTTCCGTTAAAAAGACATTGCAAGACTGAAGAAAGCCAAACAACCAGCACACCAGGGTACAAAATTAGAGGGGCGGAGCAATGGTTTTTGTACTTTGAGTAAATACTACTTAGAATGAATCCCCAAAGTTTACGAGCTATGAAACGCACATCACTTTTTCTCCTCATGCAATAATAGTCACAAAAAAAAAATTTATAAGAATCAGCAGCATTTTTCTTTTTCAACTCGTAGCCAGAACAAGCAGCCACATGATCTGGAGCGGATTATATGCTGTAAATGTTTATCATAGCCGCGCGCTGAAATTGACATAGCACAGGAGACGCGCCAAGTTCAAGACATTGTTAGGGATCGGCTATTGTCGTCATTGCAGCGATTGGCCTTGAGCCATTACCCGAATGCTAGTCAAGCTATTGATTATCGCAATGCTCGAGCCCAATCCATGAGCCGCATTCAAATGTCGTCCCTGGGGCACACAGCGATCTTCAAACTATGTCATCAAGTTTTGTGAAGGAAGGATTGAAAGAAAACACTCGCCTTCATTCATGAAATTACGCCGCAACATAGAGGTTTTTTGGTCAATGGCGTTGCATTCGAGTATATTTTGGGTCCCCGCTAGTGCCAGTAAGCTCGTGTAAGGTGAAAAACATTGCCACCTAATATCAATCCATCGCCCTTTTAACAAGCATCCCCAAGAACTCCACTGGAGTAAAAGATAGTAGTGATTAATATGCTGGCCCCCCGTGCGTTAGCAGTTGGATGCACATCTAGACAGACAATCGCACGTCAACTCCAGCACCTGAGAGTAGCGGCGCCTCCTCGGTCAAAGACCCGCAGCGTACCTTGAGGATCTTGATGCGCTCTGCCACGTCTCCCAGGTAGAGGGCGTTGGTAAACTGGCCGCTCGTGTCCTTGCGGATCTCGGCGATCTTGAGCATCTTGCGCAGCTTTTCCAGGTTGCCCGTGATCAGGTAGAGAAAGGACAGCTTGTCGAAGTTCTTGGTGCGCTGGTACGCCATCTCCACCACCTATGAGGGATGCGCCACCCGCCGGTCAGGCAGGCCTATCGAACTCCCACCGACACGCCATCAAGTACCATAATTTCTAATGCGTAATCCGCAGACTATACATGTATAAAAGCCGAAATTTCACGTGGTGCTGAACTGGGTATCCACAGGTGCAGACAATACAAGGATTTTTGCTTTTTGCAGATCAACCATTACCGTATTAACTCGAGCATAAGCCAACCACAGGTATAGGTCGATGCCTTGATAAGTTTATATTAAGGGAGCCAGTACCCAAAAGGGACAACTTTTGAACCTTTGGCTTGCTATGAATTAAATGTACAGTATGTACTGGCAGTTGTGAGGCAGAATGCTGTGCAAAGTCACATCTGTGTACATGAACTGCAAAATAAATTAATTGTTTTTATCATGAACACACAACTCTGGAAAACTATCGCTTGAAAAATAATGTAATACCCAACGTCTTTGTGGTTTGTTTTCACTAGATCTGCAGGAGAATGCCTGGAAAGCGCAACTGCAAATAGAAAATTTCCTAAAAGTAATTTATTTAGTGCCTACATGGCAGTGAAAAATCCAATACATTTTTTGTCTTTTATATTGTCGAAAAAATTTAACATTTAACATCAAAAAGCAATTCCACAGATGCATTGCCCATAAAATTCCAGTTAAGAAAAAACAAGTTTTTTTTGTCCCATCAACAATAGTTTACCTAAAGTGAAATTTATACCAAAAAGTGAAACGGAGAAAAATGTGTTCAATGTGCTCCAGCTCCTACCTTTTCTTTAAAACCAGTGGACCGAAAATAATTTATAAAAAATTAACTATGCAGTGTAAACGAATAAAACTTTCTGTAAATACTCTCTAGATGTTTGTGGATGTAAATATGGCATTTTTCAAAATAAACCTTTTAGGCAGAATTTTTTTTTTTTTCTGAGCAAGTTTAAACTTGCAAAGAATAAAAAAAAACACATAAATATAGGTTTTTTGTTTTGTTTTTTTTAATCTAACAGAAGAAACTAAACTATAAATGCCATGGGTATAACAAGCTTAAAATAGAAGCACTGTTGACAACACAGAAGAGAGCGACAGAGATGAATGGCACTATCTAGATCCCAACTCCAGGAACCATCACAGAGTCACCTGATGGTTGCCTTGCATCAGAGCAGCCTCCCCAAGCTTCTCCCAGCAATTCTTGTCGTCCAGGGTCCTGGCCGCTTCGAGAGCGACCTACAACAAGCGACGAAAAAGGAACTGCATCAAACAAAACCCCGAAAAACCAGCCTCAGATTTGGTGGCTCTATGGTCGGCGATAGTTTAAGAGCGCTGTAGAAGCTCATTGCCTTCTGGCAGTCCTTGCCCAAGCGTGCAACAAGTTGCTATCTAAGGCAAAAAGTTGGCACTGAAGGAAGAACATCCACTGCATTCTTAACTTGTCGTCGACTATAGTTGAAACGACCGTCGTTGGAGCAGACGCCCCGTTCCTCGAAACACTCGCCTCTATGTTCCCGCACTCCAGGGCCAGAGCAAAGCGAGTTTTCTCATCCTTGACGAAGTGCAGGGCCACCTCGGGGTAGCCTTTCTTCTGAAGGTAGGCAATGATGGACTGGCCCACCAGCTTGGCATTGCGCACCATGTGCAGCACCTGCAGGCAACGCAGTATGTACTCAGAACAACCAGACAACACGCTTGCGAGTAACAGGAACAGCACATCAAGCTGAAGGAAGCGGCTCGAACGCAGTTCTGAAGTTCTCAACACCAAACTACCTAAAGAAACCCAGCACCTCAAAAAGTTTGAAGAAAGTATTTAAAAGATTAGCAGGCGACAAAATCACACTTCTCAAAAACACTCAATAAATGTGCCGGCCATCCACGCCCGCTTGCTATTGGTGGTCAAAATTCGTCTCCAGCCACACAGCTCAGCCTTAAATTTTAATATTTGCTCTTTTCTTTTCTTGTTAGAACTTTTAAGATTAATTGCCAGGATCGCGACATCTGGCAGCATGACACGCCAGTTCCTGCAATGCAATATATTGCCACTTCAAGACCGCTTCAGATGTGTGGGCTGTATGCGACCCTAAACGGATCAGTCAGACACATCGTACACACTGCAGCGGAGGAGGATGCGCAGAAAACTGACCTCGTCGTACTTGCGGTTGACCAGGGCCAGCTTGAAGCGGTACTCGGTGGGGTCGATGCCCAGCACCCGGGGTCTGCACTCCCGGTCCAGGCAGAACACGCTCGAGTCCTTCACCCGAGTGATGTAGATCGGCAGGTCCAGGGTGCGGATGATCCCGTGGTCGCTGCCAGGTGGGAGCGAGAGCACGAAGAGAAAGCCATCAGCTTGCACTCTCACCTTTTCGTAGAGCGGAAAACAGAGTACAGAACCAACCATGCGCACTGCAACACCGTGAACCCAGACGGTTCGAGGTTTCGAGTTCAGTGTCTAATTGGAGGCGTCCGATTCGAGTGCTGGGTTTGAGGTGTCCGACTGAAGGTGTCGGGTTCGACGCGTCCGGTTTGAGGTGTCCGGTTAGAAATGCCACGTTCTAGGTGCCGGGTTAAAGCTTCTGGTTAGGGTGTGGGAGTGCTAGACGTGTCAAGCTCGAGATGCCGGGATCGCAGTGTCGTGCGAGCCGTCAGGTTTGTAACTCCAGTTTGCACTAGCGTGCGAATGGACAAGCCCATGTGCGTTTGGCGGGGGGGGACCCTGCGACCTACCCGTTGGTCAGGGAGTACTTGATGTGGTTGGACGTGGTGTAGACGAAGACGCCCGAGTCGTCCCAGGCCCCGCTCTTGACGCGGGTGCTCTCCTGGACGCTGCACAGCACGTCCAGCCTCCGGTTGCAGATGGTCAGCGTGTGCTTCGACAGCAGGGCCACGTGGCTGAGGTCGTTGCTCCACACCACATACTTCACCTTGGCCTTCACAGACGCCAGTTGCCTGCATCACGAGGCGCCAGACTTGGTCACCGCCACAACTTCCAACAAAGCTACGACCCAAATCTTTCGAAGATTCCACTCCCATAAAAAATGTATCGGCTAATTCAGTAACTTAGCAGCAGATAGATTTATAAACAGCTTCAGCAGTACATACCATGATGTGTCAATTGCCAATGAGCACGGGTTACGAAATAATGTGAGATTATTCATCCTTATTAACAAACTCCTAGATTAGCTAAGTTCTGCCAAACAGACCCAACATTAAAATGTATGAGCATTCCTATGAGGAGTGATGATGCAATTTTTCTTGTGCGTTTGTGGTTTCTGTGCATGTTTCCAGTCATTTTTCAGTTGTAAGTCAGCACTCAGTCTCTTCGTTTCACTTATCTGCTATCCCTCGACACCAGCATCTTTCTCGGTAATTCAAAAATAACTAACCCAAGTTGGTAGCCTCCTACAGGTCCCATTAGTTAGCAACATGAACATGTCAAATGCAGTGGACGTACCTGCCCTGAGTGACGTCGAAGAGAACGAGGCCATCCGAGTCGCGGAGCAACAACATGCCCGTGCCGGCATAGAAGATTTCGTCGCAGCTTGGAGTCTGTACTTTCTTGTTCACCTCGTTTTTCATGTTCTTGATCACCACCTATGGCGTCGAAAGATACAAACCCCCTGGTGACTGAAAATGTTTGTACAGTGAGTTGCGCATTATTTAAAGAAATCATGGGCCTTTTTGCCAGTCTCCCCTCGCCTCTCAATTCGTCATAAAATGCAGAAGCGGAGCTTGCAAGGAAAATCTCTCAGAAGGGGCCAAACTAATTGCCACCAAAACATAGATATTTATGTCAACCGTACGATAAATTCGGTATACACAGAAGGTGTTGGTTTTTGCTAAGTCTGCTTAGAATCCACCAAGTTCTGCTTCTTGTGTCGGCGACATCCGTGCCTACGTTCCGCACCAGTCTCTCCCTTGTATGCGCCACAACATTGCACTGAGCACCTCTCACCCTTTCTGGCTCTTTTAAATCTTTCTGCAACATTACAACTCATGACCTGGTTTTAAGGTTGCCTTTACGCTTACCCATTTTCTCCAGTGGCCCTTTTAAATCTATTCCACGACGTTAAATCATGTGACATGGTCATGATTGTGGTCACGCAGGTACCCACAGCCTTGGTATAGCTAAGTAAACATTGCTTCACCAGCTTCCCCCTTAACTCAGCTGTGGAGCATCAGGCTCCAAATCTTAGGGTCCTGGGTTCGACTCTTGTTGGGAAATGTTCAAAATTTAATTCTTTCTTTCAAATTACCGTATTTTCCCAGTGTACAAGTCAAGGTGTTCGTATAGATTTCCGTCGGTGCATCTTATACAAAGTTGCAACTTATATGCATTTCTTTTTTTTTTTTTAAGTATGGATTTTACCTGTGTGAATTTGCCACAGGATTTTTATTTCTCATTCGATTCATCAACTATAGCATTAAAACTGGCTCTCGCTTGCACAGGTATCACGATAACAATACACATATGCAAGCTTATCAGTGCAGTTACACCAGACAGACCTGACAAATATACAAGTGCAGCTGATACAAAGATGCAACTCATACACCAACTTTTTTGTGAAAACACCATTGCAGACTACATAAAACGGCACAACTTATAGACCGGAAAATATGGTAACAGGTGTTTCTTTAAACTTTGCGTTAGACATTTTGTGAGGTGTTTTTCATAACAGGTTTTCGCGGCATTTCGTCCCATTTTCCTGGGCGATCCCAGCCTTTGAACACATCCTATATGTTTAAAAAAAGAAGGAATGAACGAAAGAGGTGACCCACGTTGTGGCTCCGGTCGAGGACCGCGAACCGGTTGCGCGCCACCCAGACGGCCGTGAGCCCCGACGACCTCTTGCCCTCCACCAGATCCGGGTTCTGGGAGTCTGAGTCCCTTGGCACGGCGCACAAGTCGTACGTGCTGTTATCCGGGTTCGGGGTGCGGGTGTTCAGCAGCACCGCATTCTCGGCAGGGTTGTACGACATGCTGTCGAAGAGATGCGCGGGAAACTCGCGGTCACTCCAAAGTGGAAGCCCGAGGTTTCTCGCCCTAACTGACGAGACGGGGTTACATCCTCTTGCAGTATTGCATGATCATCAATGACAACGGATTTTTTTTATTTTTCAGAACTACAGATATGTTACACATCATTGTGTTCCTATCTGTCTTTAAGAAGACACTACTATATGGTCAGGTTCATCTACATGTTTCATGAATAAAGTGCACTTGTTCTCATTATGTGCCTTAAAACTGAGGGAGAGGAGGGGACGGGAGTGTGCGGGAACGTCACAACGCCGAGCTCTGGTACGAATGATTAGTGAGTAGACCTAAAGCTAGCTGTCTTCCTCTCCACTGCACTCGTCAAATGCATTCGAATGCAAAAGCCAAATGCCAGACGTCGGCGTTCCACACTCTAATGCGTTCGACAAGTGCAATGGGGACAAATGCAGCTAGCTTTAGGTCTAGCCGTTAATGATTCCAACCGGAGCTCGGTGTCCTTCCGTCCCCGCGTGCTTCCGTCTCCTCCTCTTAGTTTCTCGGCGCATAGTATTGCATACATCATGATGTATGACTGTTCTGAGCCCAATTCCATCGAGGCACCTTGTTCCTGTTTCCAACAATTATGAAATCAATACTCACCAGACAAATAAATAGAGAAATGACCAACCGCAGTCTTGCAAAGCAGTTCACACTTGACCAACCAGTGGAACCACTTCATAATAAGGGCAAAGATATGTATATAGTGAAGTAGCATTAAAGCCTGCTAGGAACTCCGATATTGGAATTTGCGGTACTGGTAGTATATAGTGAACATTCTTCCAGAACAACTGACTTTGCTATAAAGAGCTTCTACAAACAATGTTTAGTAACCTCTCTGAGCTGTCTCCCTGCTGAATTTCTTTTCCGATCTGAATGCTACGAAATGCGAAACATCAGGAATATCAAGCAAACTTTCAATGCTTGGTATAAAGAAGAAGCTTTCCGCCCTGGCGTCGGCAGCACGGAACTGCAGGTTTGGCTGTGGCGCATGCAGCACCTCGGAGGCGGGGAACAAGAGCATTGCTTACCTGAAGACGGGGCTGCGGCTGCCGCCACGGAACTGGAGCAACACCACGTCCTTGGAGGTGGTGAAGTCCAGCCTCCGCAGGTAGCGGTCCTTGCAGTAGTACAGCAGGTTCCCGTGCAGAGCAAAAGCAGGTCGTTCGCGCTCCAGCTTGAACAGGATCATCCCTTGGGGGAGAGGGAGCAAAGTGCCGCTGTCGTAGCCACGAGTGGCAATCCCTGACCGAGAACGCCGCTGCCTAATATGCAACACGTTCCAACAGTGAAACATAAAATAAAGGAAGGACAGTTTGCCAAAAATTAAGTTAACAAATAGTACAACAAACTGCCACCTATCATCAATTTTAAAGAATATCAACAGCATCCGAAAGCAAACCGAGTGTTTGGGTTTATGTCACTCGTAGGCCTACGCATGCAAAAGTGAGCCCTGCAGACTACAGTCTTGTTTACTTATAAACGAAGTTATACATTAATGGGGCGATACAATGAATTTTGCACTTTGCACAAACACCTGTGAAACACCTGTTCCTTTTTCACCATAAGCAATCAGTGGCAGAAAAAATTTAAAAAAAACGAGCAGCATTCAGCACTCAACCCCCCGCCCCCCGCCCCCCCATTTCCAGCCAGAACAAGCGGCCACTAGATATGGAGCCGATTATATGCCGCCAATGTTGATCATAGCCCCGCGCTAGGGTTGGCAAGGCACAGGACACGTGCTGAGTACCAGACATTGTTAGGGTTCGGCTATTCTCGTCATTGCAGCAATTGGACACAGGCCACTACCCGAATGCTTCTCGGGATGTTGATTACCACAATCCCAAATTGAATGTCAATGCAATGCTCGGGTCCAAACTATGAGCCGCATTCAATTATCGTCACTGGGCGGTACTGCGACTGCCCAGTTACGTCATCGAGTTTTGCGAAGAAAAGTTTGAATGAAAACGCACGCTTTTGTCCTCGAAATTACACAGCAACAAAGGAGTTTCTTAGCCAGTAGCATTGCTTGCGAGTATCCTTGAGTCCCACTAGTGCCAGTAAGCTCGTGTAAAGTGAAAAACATCCCAATTGAATAGTGTTGCAGCACCCCTTTAAGTGCTAAGCCAAAGTTACATGCTCTCATTCACAAGATGTCCCCCAAAAAATGTTTACAGAGTTTTGTTTGTTTTTTTCACCACAAAAATAAACTACGCATTGCTAAATGCTCATTCTCCATCCAAAAGTTTCAGCATTAACCATTACCTTATTCAAATGTTATCAGTGATTTTCTGAAATTTTCAATGGGAGGATGACGGCCGACAGGGCTCTAAAATACATGGAGCTCTATGGCACCAGCTACCAAAAAAGGGTGGAAACGGGCCCCATTTTCCGCTTGAAAATTTCAGAAAATCAGTTACAACTTTCGAAATAAGATAATGGTTGGTTCCGAAACTTTGGCCGCTAGTTTGGACCGCTTTCACCACATTTGGGCAGAGAATAAGTGTTTGGCAATTCTTAGTTCAATCTTGCAATAAAAAAAAAATACTAAACTTTTTTTTTTTCTTTTGGGGGGAGGGAGGGGCGCACTGTTTTATTTCACATACCAAGCTGCTTGTTACTTAATAGTCAAGTAACATATTAACTCATGTAATAAGATATACCCAATTGAAGTTCCATGCAAAATTCCGATGTCAGGTTGCATGCTAAAACACAAAACACTAACTACATCACAAGACATATGCTGACTCATGCTAAATTGCCCGTTGGCAACACGCTACATAATGTGACAAGTTGTATATATCGCATATTAATCACGTGTGCAACTATATCTGTACTCATGCATGACGCAGCTGTTCGCACAGAGCACTTCGCCAATAAAAGCCAGAGCTGATACGAAATGAACCTTTGTTCCTTGGTTGTTGCCACTGGCATGTCTGTCCGTCTTGCAGACGGCAGAACAATATAGAAGCTGAAATTCTACTCTAAAGGCCCGTTCACACTCTTGCGACCGAGTACGACTGAGAGAGGCGAGATCTCTTACAACTTCTTAAATGTTTCTAGAATGAGGGAACACACTGACATTGTGGCGCCATCTATGCGGTGACCCTAGAACTGCATTTCACAAAAGCTAAGGTTTTGCGGGATTTCCGAGGTCAAATGTGCGTAATACCCATAGAAAGGCTCGTTTATAACATTGACAAAAGCTTTTCGAGCCAAAAAAGAAAAGATATTGCGCGAGAAATAAAAAAAAATATGCCGGATCGCCGAGTTTACACTGCTTCCCAATAGATGGTGCCAGTGTGTTTTCTGGTTTAAGAAGTTTTAAGGAACCCAGGTTTAAGAGGTCGCAAGCAGTCGCAAGAGTGTGAACGGGCCTTAAGTTGCAAGTTACGTTGTATGCTTGATCACACGCTAATTTACATCCCAAATCTTACTTTAACTTAGGTAGTCGGGTCCAACGTTGCCACCAAAGACGACGACGGCACGAGAAAATATACGGCACGTTTGCACCTAAGCTCACAGTCGGTTGCACCGTCTTTACAGTTCTCTACATCGAACCTGCAAAAAGTTCCGTCATCTTGCACGCAAAAGGAAACAAAGCCAGCTTTACCCGAGTCGTGTCCCGCTGCAAAGAGGTTGAGGCTCGGATGGCTCGCAAGGATCCAAAAACGGTCGTGCTCTCGACGGTGCGTGTAGAGGCACGTGCGCTTGGTCATGTCCCACACACGGATGCTCTTGTCCTCCGAGTTGCTGAGGATCAGCTCCTGCCTGCGTCGCACAAGACACCACCTGAGGCACACTGCCGCAGACAGCATTCGCTGCTGAGGTCTCAAGACAGGGGTTAGAGGGGACGTAAAAGGAGACCAAACCAATAAACGAACTATGACCCATAACAAAAAAACTGTCACGTCACATGTCATGTCATGTTACCAAGTCGGGTGATGCGACAGCTGGCACATGACGCGACAGCTTGAAACCGTAGCTTACAGTATCCCAATGACCGTCCACGAAACTCCTCGCGAAAGACCCGAGGAAACACCTTACCCTACTGCTTCAATGAGGTAATGGGGAAATGAAGTAATGGTGTTTGGTGCTTTTCCCATTGTCAATAGTAAAAGCGCAAAAAGCCAAGCGCTGCCAACAACGGACACAGACAACCGGCGCCTGCAATGACGAAAGGAGCCGCGAGGTACGCACCTCGGGTGGAAGGTGACGCAAGAGACGTTGTTGTAATGGCCGCGGCAAGTGTCCACCTCCCAGGCCTTGGAGTCGTTCATGCGCCACAGCTTGATCTGGCGGTCGTCCGCCCCAGACACCACCAGGGGCATGGTCGGATGGAAGCAGGCCCAGTTCACCCCGCGCTCGTGACCTGGTCGGCGGACAGACAGACATCGAGCTCGTTACGCATGCCAGGGCCCCGAGATAAACTAATTAAATGTTATGTATGATTTAAATTTTCTTTTTTAACCTACACAGTGTACAAAAGTAGGAACGGGGCTGGTTAAAACGAAGCAAATAAGAGAATAAAAAAGAATTTGCAGTGACCTTTACCTCTAAAGTTTTATAATGCATGGAATGCAGTAATAAAGGAGAGACCGTCTAAATTTGTTTAAAAGGCATTAGTGTTTAAACCACTTTAACATCACAAGCTATTGTGATGTCAAAGTGTTATGTGATGTTGCACCACGACGCACAGATGGACAAATTTCTGGGAATGGGTGCTCCCGACATAAAGCATTCCATGCTTTAGTAATAAAGCATAGACACAAAACCGAATCCGCGTCCAAGTTAGCACAAATATAACATCGGTACTCATTTTACATGATACTCATCCAAGGCTGTGACAACACTCGAAATTCTACCATCTGAGTGGGTGCCCTGAATGAGCATGATGCAGAACACTGGAAGCCTTTCATTTGTAAGAAAAAATTACGAAAACCGGTTGTCACATGTCCATGCTAACTGTAGCACGCTGATGAAACTCACCGTCGAGGAAATGTCTGACGACCGCGTCGGATGTGCCGAAGAGGTCGGTGTGCCCCGGGTTCTTGAGGTGGTCGTCCAGCCCTCCCGGTCCGGGTGCCACGTTCTTCTTGCGCAGACCGGCTAGGTCCCAGACCCTGATGGTCTGGTCTAGGGACGCGGAGACCATGAGGTCTTCCGACGCATGGAACTGAGCGCACATGACGTAATGCGTGTGGCCCGTCAGCACGCAGATGCAGGTTCGCGACTGCCAGTTCCAGATGCGAATTGTCTGGTCGTCGGACGCGCTCAGAATCCACGGGTACTCGTGGTGGAAGCTAGTGGTCCGGATGTAGTCCAGGTGGCCCAACAGCGTGAACATGCACCTCCGCTGCTTGTAGTTCCAGACCTGGCGGATACAACAGCGCTACCGTTAAGTCGAGAAAGGAGATAACAAGACACATTATCTGAGCCGAGGTGAACCTTTTCATCTCAAGGAACGTCGGTCTCTATTGCTCGATAGCCGAAGAAACCCTCCAGGTTTCGGCATTGATGCAGTAAAGCGGTACAGAAACCTGCGGATCTTGTGAATGGTAAAGCTCGTGCTAGGGGATGTTTGTCACATAAGTTATGCCTCAGTGGGTGGCTTAGATCTTCTGGAATAGTGCTTCAACTAGCGATTTCTTTACTCAACAGTTTGTACGACCGAGGAAATCAGAGAGCTCGGGGATCCCCTGAGGGTAATCAGAAAACCCCTGGGTTCTTAGCAGCCCAGTTTGAGGAGTAAGGATCTATTCGTGACTGCGACGACTTAAATGTATGAACGTGTGCACTGTACGACAAGTTTGTCATCCGTGGCTGTACCTTCTCGCTGCCTCTGTCTTTCGACATCTAGCTCCAACCAATCATTCTGCCTTTTTTGCTGGATGTGATGGCCTCATGTATGGGCTAATTACCTTTCTATGGTGTTCCAACCTCTCAAGGTCCTCTTCGTTCAACCCTCAAGGTTGAACAAAGATTATTATAATTATTATTATTATTTCCTGTGCCATAAAAAGTAGCACAATGACTGTTTCATTCAGCAATCTACAAAATCTGCAAGCGAGCTCTCAAAGAAGGTACTGCTGAGCGCATGCTCGTGCAATGCACCAGCCGTTGGAAAGGCATGCGCTCACGTCTGGTACTTTTGAGGAAAGCTATTTCACGTCATTGGAGACTAGTCACCAGAATCTGCAGCTTGCAATCCAGCTGATTAGAACTGATATATGACAAAAGAGATGTAACATTCTACCGGCTTGCTTGAGTTGCTATGATTTACAATGTTGTGTAATTAGCTAGTGTTACAGGAACAAAATGGCTTTACTAGCATTGATATTACTCACTTACTGGGGTATTCCTAATCCGCGAGGGCACTACTTACAATTATAACATATGTAATGCCATTCAGCACTTACATGCAACCCCAAACCTTTAGACAGTAATTCAGTCTTGGTTTTCTAGGTTCACTGCAGGTTCGAAGCACCTCGACGGTGGCCTATAGAGGGTATTCACTGGATATCATATCTGAGTGCACTCATCACTTGGCACGCTGTGAACGAGTTCGCACTTCTGGGCTACCAAGACCAGCGATCGTGATGGTGTGGAGTGCACGTTGCAAAATCACTGAGGAAGCTCGCCGTCAACGCGCCGAGCAAACCTAAATCAGTTAAAAAATAAAATAATAAATCGCATCTTTTAGGGGTTCATTATTGGGTGGATTCGACGGCTCAGTAAACAGGGCACCCATGCAATCTCGTTTTTGACGCCGGTTAAACAGCCGTCAACGGGAAACGCCCGCGGTGGCTCCGCAAGTTAAGTCCCGCGTACCTTGATCTGATAGTCGTCGCCGCCGGAGACGAACAGGGGCTGCTGGTTGTGGAAGCAAATACCTCGCACAGGTCCGTCGTGCTCGTCGAATTTGTCGAGTAGGGTGCACATTCGGTAGTCCCATAGCTGGATGACGCCGTTGTGAAGGCTGGCCAGGATCCACGGCCTCTTGGGGTGGAAACTCAGGCCCTTCACGCGGGCAGACTTGGTCTCGAACTTGGTCAGCATTCTGTCGCCGTCCCCGTTCGACAAAAATTCAGCTCGATTCAAGAATTATTTTCAAAACATCAACCACATCAACCTCGACTTCGTGGCACTTGAGGATGGCGAGCGCCGCTACTCGCTGTCACTTCCGGTTTCGGGCGACCGACGCGCCAACTGGAAAAAATACTTTGTCCTTAAAACAACCCCATAATACCTTAGCGTGGGTAACAATCTTTTCAAAATAAACTGGCGTGTTATTTCTACTACTTCGATTACGTTTTAACAAGAAAGACGTGTTTTTAACGGTTTGTCATAAAAACGAAGCCACAAGTCAAGCCAACCGAATAGCCGGCGCTTGGAAGCAAGCCAGATGGACAGCTGCTGCTTGCAGCGCGCAATTTTCGAACAGCTACAAAAGCGCTCTAGAGCGAGCGGTATTAGAACGAAATAAATACGGCGGTTTGGGTGTGATATCACAATTTAATATCCGTCAGTTGTAAAACTCTGTACGATGTAACAGTAAAGGCCGCACAGGCGTCACCAGAGAAGCTTATTAAAGCCCAAACTTATGACATGCTTGCGTGACCACCAGAAAAAAATAAAATATTCCATTTCGGGCAAGAAAACCCGAACGAGTTCTCTTGCGATGAACTAGTGTAACACCTAGGTTTGACACTAGTTCATTCCTAAACTGGTAGTGCGGTGGGAGCTACGCGCTCGCCGGAGTCCGGACCAATCAGCCGCCTCCCTTTCGCCCACTGACCAATCAGCCGCCTCCCGCTCTTTGCAAATGGGCGGGAGAGCCTGATCACGTGGCGAAAGAGACGCATGACTGATTTAACGATCACTAGCTGCCACCGCGCTGTTAGCTTAACGGCCACTGTACGGTGACAAAGTTAGCTTCCATGCAGATGCAGTCCAAAACAACGCACCAAAGAGAAATTAAAAATATATATACCTATACACTACGTACGCGCAGACAGGCTTGTCCAAGGAGCATGACGAGGCCAAAGGTCTTTCCGGTGCAAAGTCACTCCGCCTCGCCGTCCTTTTTACGATCCCGGTGTCAGCCGCCGACCTTCACTGCTGCGAGAGGAGGCACCGGCCGTAGTGCTAACATCTGAGCAGATTTCTCCCATCTTTCAAATGAAACTGCCAGACATGCAGTCTCGGCGTTGACACGCAGTTTCGCTGCACAGTCGTCGTTGTTTATGAAGACCGGCTCAGGCTTCCAATACATGCGCAGAACACTACAAGGTGTCTCAAAGCTATTCAATGGTTCATTGGTTTATTTGCACAATACTTTTATGACTGATCGGTTGGCGTGACAACTGCGAGGGCAACTCAGTTCAGGGCGCGTGGAGCGACATCATGCGCAACAGAAGTGATATGATTCCTGGGCTCGATCCCCGCCCTTGTCTGTTTTGATGTGCAGACGCTGGAAAGAAGGCGATCGACTTCCTCTCCAGCGCTCGCTTTGCTAAAGTGGAAAGAGGGAGAACGCGTGAAGCATTCGCTCTGGAACATGTATTCGTTAAGAAGCGAACGCGTGCAGTCACTGGCCAACAGTAACGAGGCCTCGTGGACTCAGGGGGTCTGGGGAAAAGCTTAGCAGGAGCAGAAAAAGAAGCAATATGCAAGGGGGCAGAAACATGTTAAAGTGGGAAGAGGTCGGGGAACAACTATAGCACTCTAAGAAAAAAAGGTGGTCTCAAACATTGATCTCTATGACAATTGCTGGATCGCGCATCCCCGCTTGGTTGCTGCGGCGCGAGTGAAGCCACCGGGCGGCCATCTCGCATGTCGAAAAGTTTCGTTTTGCTAGCGTTGCAGAGGCCGGTGGCAGCCGTGCTAAAGACACGTTTTCTACTCGTTCGTCGTCATTCGCCAAAAAAAAAAGTTCTTTTTTTTTTCTTTTAATTTTGCGTAAGCTGTGAGACTTGCCGTTGAGACCACGTGGTAATTTTTGCGAAATCGCGGTGCCTCAGGAATGAAGCACAACTCGTCGAAAGCAAGTTTCGCCGGTCTCGCGGCGTGTTCAGAGCTTCCTTGGCACGCCGAAGTGCTGCGTCTCTGTGCCTTCGCACGCTTGGATACTCATCAAGATTCGACGCCGAGTGGACGTGTTTCGCGAGAGCAGGGGGTGCAGGCGAAGGCAACGCCAGGCGAAGAGACAAAGGGAGAGCACTAAAGGGGCACTGACACCCCAAAGGCCGTATTTATTTTTATTGTCTAAAACGATGCAAATTGCAGTCATAGACACGCAAAAAAAAAAACGCATCGCGAAAAAAAAAATGTTTTCCCGCGCGCGCGCGCGCCTTTTTTATTTTTGGCGTTTGATTCTCCCGCCTTCGCCTCCTCGCTTCTTTTGATTCGTGACGTCAAGAATCATGAAATTTAGAAGCTTTGCAGGCGACATCTTTATAACATTTTATAACGGCAATTCTAAAACATGTTTTTTAACGCAATTGCGAACGCACTACGGTCCTTCTTTTTGAAATACCAAAAATCGGGAGTTCGTTGTGGTGCCGTTAAAGTGAGTGCTGTCTCCTGGATTTGTATCCTCCAAAGGAAAACAGGCGACACCGCTCAAAACCGGTCCGCCGCAACGCCGGCGCTCGCTCCTTTTCCTCTTCGCTTTGGGTCGCCATGGCAACAGCAGGGAGTGGTGAAAGAAAGTGGACTCTCAGGGCTCCGCAATATTTGACGTCAAGGCACCGGCGCCGATCGCGCGGGAACTTCGAATTCGGCATTTGGAAATTGTTTTTTTACTTCACAAATACTGAATTTCCAAATTTCAAATTTTGAGGTTAATGTCCCGGCATCGTTTTCAATCGTTTCGGATAATAAAAAAAATGATTTTGATGTGTCAGTGCCCCTCTAAGAACGTTAGAGAGGAAAGGAGATGTCTCTCCTCCTCCCCAGCCTTCCTAGGGCTTGCCTTTTCTCCCCTCGCCTGGCGTTGCCTTCGCCTGTACTGCACGCAACTAGTGACGCGGAGTATAGGTATTTAAAATTGCTGGCGAGCGCTATAGTGGACTATCGTCAAGTTTATAATAAAAAAGAAACACGTTAATCTTATTTGTAATTCTTAAAAATAGCTTCGTTTTTTTTTTTTTTGGGGGGGGGGGGGGGGGTCAATTTGCATTTTGATTGCTTGCACCACTCATTTATAGTTTCTAACGCAGGGTTTAAAGTAGGGGGGGGGGGGGAGGGGAGGGGGGAGGGGACCGTCAAGTTTATAATCAAAAACCAACACGCTAAAGGAGTCATGAAACGCTTTTCCAACTTTTTCCTCTTTAGCTTTCCTCCTCAACTCAGAAATCGCGCATTTTACCAAACAGTTCAAGAAGACAAAAATGGGGGAGTCCCCTTTTGCTCGGAATCTCGTTTATGTACCCGGGCACAGCCATTCTCCCCCTAGAAGATTAGCCCGTCGCTCGAAATTCGGACAAAAGTTGCTTTCCCCACCCCGTTCACCCCGAAGCTGACAGTGCTGTGGAAGCTACGTGCTCGTTGGGCCAGCAACTCTTTTGCCACGTGATACCGCTCTCTCGCGCATACCCACGCGCAGAGAATGAGGTCAGGTGATGAAAGGGAGGCGGCTGATTGGCCCGGCAATCGCGTAGGTTCTACCACAATGTCAGCTTAGGGGTGAAGGGATTAAGTGAGCTCCGGTGCCGTGTGACGTGCGTTTGGGCCCGGTGACGCGCTGCGGGGTCTGCGGATGTATCCCAGTGAAAAGGCAGAGAGCTTACGAAGGGAAGGAGGTACGAAATAGTCTGCTGTGTTTTCAAGTTTTCGTACCGAAAGTCTGGCTTTTGAATTTCTACTTTTTTTCTTTTGGCCCACTGAACGATGTGCTATTAGTAAAATCCCAGTATAAAGTAATTTATTCCAGCGCAAAATTCGTTTCATGGGCCCTTTAATCTTATTTGTGATTCTTGAAAATAAAGGGTTTCTTTCTTTCTTTCTTTTTTTTTGGGGGGGGGGGGATTAATTTGCATTTTTGACCGCTTGCACCACTCATTCATAGTTTCTAACGCAGGGTTTAAAGTGGGAAGGGGGGGGGTTAACAAATGGACTGAGACCCTCCTCCCCCCAGCCTTAGTGAAGTCAAAATTATGTATTGCAATAAAATAGCTTGCTTTCAGGGATGTGACATTTGGGCATGGGCGTACCAACCGGGGGGGGGGGGGGGGGGGGGGGCAAGTTGGCGCTGGCCCCCCCAATTCTCAGGGTGGGGGGGCAAGGCATGTGTTTTGCCCCCCCCCCCCCCCCCCCCCCCAGAAAAAGTCGTCATTGGGCACGGCAAACACTACCCGTCGGCGCCACAGGGTTACAAAGGGCACCGCCCCGGTCCTGGGGGGGGGGGGGGGGGGAGGGGGGAGGTTCTGGTTTGCCCCCCACTCAGAAACAAGTTGGTACGCCACTGCATTTGGGGATTACCAATTTGAGTGTTGCAGTTAAGCGTGGGCAGAGTCAGCAGTGGCGTTTATTTTACGTGCATCTAGTACAGGGGTGGCCAGGGGTGCTATGTTGCGCTTTTTGGACTCCCAGGAGACTAGGAAATGGGAAGTGACGTCAACGACACAGCAAACGCAGATTGGATGTTGACAGAAGAAAACAAAATCAACACCCAATCTGCGTTTGCTGTGTCGTTGACTTCACTTCCTTCTCCCTGGTCTCCTGGGAGTCAAAAAAGCGCAGCATAGCACCCCAGGCTGACCCGGCCTAAGAGCCGCAAACAAAGCCACGAAACTTGCAAGAGCCGCGGGGGGGGGGGGGGGGGGGGGGGGGTGCAGGCACACTTTTGTTGAGAGCAATAAACGAAACTCGAACTACTTTCAATCTATCCGAGTCAAAAGCATTCCAATTGTACGTAAGGTAGCAGTAGCATAAGACTACCGAACCGCAATCTGTCTTTCGATTTAAAACGTGTTCTATTTCTCTTTTGGGGGAAGTGTGTGTGTGCGTGTGGGGAAAGGGGGAGGGGGGGGGGGGAGAACTTGAATACACAACACCCTTTCCCCACACGGGTACGCGGAGAGAAAGTCGTCTGCTTCTTTTGCAGGGGGTTGCGCTGACGTCAGAAAAACGCCGAGCTCTGATTGGCTCTGACTGGAAGGATAGTCACTATCCTTCAGTGAAAGGGAATCAAAGCTCCGCATTCTTACGGCACCCCTGAAAAAGAAGCAGACGAACTTGCGGTCCGCATATCGTTTCTGGCAGTTGTGTGACTCGACAGCCTCCGCCGGAATCCGTTTGGGTTAAAAGCGTTTAAACTCTCAAAGTGCTCAAAGATGA